CATAGCCTGAACATGGCAGGGGGTGGCGGCCCAGCTGCCGCTCTTCGTTGGGCTTCAGCCCTCACTCCTCCAAGCCTTCTGTCAATGGTCTCCCCAAACTGATCGTAGATGTTCCCATCCATAGTAGAGAAAATCAGTCCGCTTCTCTCGTCTTCCCGTCTTATATTACAGAACCTTATAGTGTGGCCTTGCTGGTCACAATGTTGACAGATGGTCATTCTCCAGTCAAAACGGGGTCTTCCATACCCCTGACTTCCCTGATCCCCCTGGCCTTGATACCCCTGGCTTTGACTCCCTTGGCCTTGGTACCCCTGGCCTTGACTCCCTTGGCCTTGGTACCCCTGGCCTTGGCCATTCCATTACCTTCCTCTTCCACCGCCATTCCTACCTCGCCCCCTTCCTCCACCCCTCCCTCCGTTGCCTTGATTGCCCTGCCCCTGGTTCCCACCTCCTACAACACTGCCCTGTGAACTGGGATCAGGTGACGGTGGCGGGGCCACAGGTTGGGCCTGGGCCGCGGGGTAGATGGGTGGTGGCATACTCGTTTGCGGTCCGGCTACTGGCGGCGGGCTTTCCCATGGCACAATTGCATTGATCATCGGCCAGGGCCACTGTCCGTAGGAGGGCGCCCCACCTTGCGAGGGGCCCGTACTAGATGATGGAACCGCCACAAATAAAGGGGCTGCTGCCTGGGCCTGAGGCGCCTGCGCTTTTCCTGATCCCTGTCCGCCCTGCGCCAAATTACGCACTTTGCGCTGGACCTTCGTCAGGTGCTGCGGCACCGGCTCTTCCTCTTCCCAGAGCTCTTCCTGAAAAGCCTCCTCTATCACTGGTTTTTTTCCTTTTACTTTTACAGCCGTCACCACCCTCCTTTGCACCACCGGCTCTGTCGCATACCCTAGTTGTGCCAATACATCTGTAACAATCCTTGTTACCCCCGGGGTCCCAGAAGCGGTCGCATCTCTTTCCTTTCTCTTCTGCCTTTGCAGGCGTACCTCACGTTGTTCCACCTGGTCCAAGCACCCAACTTCCACCCCTCTGTCAATGGTGGCCCAGGTGAGCTTAGTGCTACCTCCTCCATGTCTCGTCAACTCGACGGCCTCCGACGCTGTAAGTAGCCCCAGGAAGATGGCGCACTGTGCTTCCTCCGAAATCCCATAGACCTTCCGCGCCCTCTCCGTAAATTTTTGAACAAAGGCCCCTATAGTCGTAAGATCCTCTTTGTTCATCGCTTCAAGGTCCGTGGTAGTCAACAACCCGTCTCCCAGGCGGTATTTCCTCTGCATCCCCTCCTTGAACCTCTCCCAGGTACCTTGAGCCACATCTATGACTTTCTTCACCTCCTGATGATAGCTGTGGAGGACATACTGAAGGATGCGTCGAAACTTTACAACATCCGACCGCCCGACCAAAGCTTGTTCCACCYGCTCTAGCCATTCTGAGACTCTCTCCCCATAGAAATGGAAAGTATCGACCTTTGGGATGTTGCTCGGATTCCTTTCATGTCGGTCGATGGCCGCAATAAGGTCATCGAGTGTCAGACCCTTTTCGGGAGCAACTGATGCGCCGCCAGTCTCAGGCTTTTTGACAGCCTCTTCTTTTCAAGTTCCCTGGCAAAAGAAAACAAGCACATCCCTTTATTCAAACATTATACCTTGACCGGTCTATTCCATCCGTCCTACCTAACCCTTAATACTTACTTTACCCAAATGTTCACACGATCGTCCCTCATACTTCCTCTACTCGGGTAGGTAAATTTCCTCACTTACACTTAGTCATTCATATATTCCTTCATTACTTTCTCATCACTCCTTTATGCCTTTTCTTATTCACTTCTCATACCCGGATGTCGTTCCACCAGGGACAACGGTAGGCTTTCCGTTATCCCCGGCAACGGCGCCACCTGTCGAGCAAATCGGTCCGGCACCGCACGGGGGCAGCGCGGGACCCTCCCAACCGCGTCACGCAGGAGTTGGTTTTTAAAACCCTTCGTCGCAATATACATGGAGCTTCCACAAGCCGCTCCGGCCGAGTGCGCCAGCCATACC